TTCGATTTTCTTAGAAAAGGGTTTTCTAAAAAAAAGGCATAGCTTCCAGACCCCATCTAGTGGCATAAACGCCTTACAACAGTCTCATCATCCGAAACCATATTTAAAGCTTTTTAGTGCGCTGTTTTTAAAAAAGAAACAATACAGATGATTTCAGTTTAACGTCCACCTGAAAGGCTGGAAATACTCACATGTTCTAAACACAGCAAAATAAGATTTCCTGAATCACTAGTCAACTTGTAATCATGCTGGAATTATGTTAGTACTGTATTAATAGCCCTTCATATGCTATTTTTGAGGAGCCAGCCCACCACATTCAAATCTTATTAGTTACTGGCGTAGAAGCAGGGAATCTCAATTGCTGCACTAAATCTGAGACAGAAGAGATATCAAGCTGTGAATGAACTTTGAGAAAAAGCAAAATGAATACAAGTCTGTATCCTGACGCAGTCAGCAAGACTAATCAAATTATGACTATTTGAAGTGAGCTAAACTTTCCACAATTCAGAGTTGTGCAACTGTCTCTAAATTTCTTCATGCTTGCCAAGAAATGCTGGCTTTTCAATTACTTCCTTCACTGTAGCAGTCAAGCATAAAGCACTCCCAGCTTCCCATTAGAAAGTTAACCAATTCTACAGCATATGAATAAAATCTGCTCATAATCAGGACTTTTTTCCTAGCCCTAAAAATATTTCAATTTTAATTTGTAGAGGTGTTTAGTGTTGCCTGACTATAGAAAGTGGATAAAACCAACTTTCCTGGCTGGAGGCATGTAACAGCAAGTAAAGACAAATTCTCTTAACAACCCAATTGGAGAAGAGCCATGTATATTAGAGAAAAGTACTCTGACGTAAAAATCCTCAGACTTTCTGGATAAATAAGTAGACGCAGCTCATTTGTTTCTCACAAGCAGTGGAGTCTATACTTCAATTCTTTAACCTACAAGGACTTCACTACTCCATTCAGTATTTTGAAGATTTGGAGCTATTGGTTTAAAAATGCACAATTAGCCATATTCCACTGACCGCCATACAAGTTTTGAAGTTAACAGCAAATCTCCCCTTTTCTGACAGTGCAGTATCAAGCTGAACAGAGTCAAAGAATAACTTTACTTCACCTGAGGAGCCCCTGCTGATTTAACCCAGAAATTCAGCTTCAAGCCCGACTCCCTTTGAATGAGTGAAATCCTGTGGATTTATCAAACTTCACCTATATCTGTAAAAAATATTACCACACCAGTGCTGTTGGCTGCAATACATGAAGGTATTGCTAGCTACAGTAGTGCTACTGGCCATAAAAAGTTAGCCTTTAGAATTCCAAGCTTTTAATTTGCTGGATTTTGCAGCTGACCAACAGAAGGATTCCTCAGAACAGCCTCCAGGTGTGAAGCACACCACGTAGTGCCTGCATCAGTCTAACTCTGCCTCCACTCAAGAACTGACACAGAACAGGACAGCAGCTGGGGTATGAGTTTTACATGAAGTGTTATACTAGCAGCAAATTATTAACTACACACAGCCATATTTCCTATATGGGAGGAGTGCTGCAGCCCTGCTTAACCCACTGAAAATTAAGAGTTGGGCAATCTAAAGCAAACATCTAAAATTATCTATACTTCTTCCCCTTCTTTCTAACCCATTCAACGTCTAATCAAAGCCCCACTACCACACATCGTGACAAAACAGCCAAAGTTCATCTGATCTGCAAATTAATAACATTTTTTCCTCATAAGACAAAATGAATCGGCTCAAAATACATTAAAAAAACAAGTTCCATATTTCTAGCATATTAGCAAATTAGATCTACAGAGACCAGTGGAAGTTTTGGCAAATGCACTGTTACTTTAAAAAAATACTAAAAATCCAGTCTAATTTCTTTAAATATGAGCGACTCTGGTTTTGGCAGCCCACTAGAAGGACGCAGATTATTCTAAAGTGTCCTCTTTCTTGAGAGTTCCCTGGGAAAAAAACTGCAGTAGCAGCAGAGTGCTTTAGGGCCATTTTCTTTTCATAAGCCAAGCATACCCATCTCACCATGTTTTGGGCACATCTCTGTCAAGGAAAGGAGGAAAGCTAATGGCTGTCCCAGGAAAATGGCAGCTGAGGGCAGACTTATCACCTGCATTCATTTATGTTACAGCTTGCTCACCTCAAGTCTGAGACTCTAAATATGAGACAACAGCATATACTCTGTGAGGAGCAGCCTGTCTCTTACTCTTCACTTTCCTGCAGGTAGGCTGCAGACAGGAAGCATGTGCCTATTTTCCACAATGCACCACATGTGGTAGGTGCAAAAACTAAATTCAGTATTAAAGGGAACAGCTGCACGGTACACACAGTGTGTGCCCAGCTGTACAGTAAGACGTTGCACACATTTTCCTGCTTCAGGTAAGTGGTGTGACCTATCCACCTCAGAATTTCAGCTCTGTAGTTGGATCCATATTGGACTTTTTAATTGGAAAGGTTTAGTTTGAACAGATTAGGACTAGGAAAGGGTAGCTCCTGTCCATCAGATGTAAATATACAAGCTTTCACTAGTTCAATTTATTCAAGGTCTTCAAGATAACCCAGAGGTTAGAACAGAACAGAAAATAGTAACTCTTGTCCATCAGAGGTAAGTATACAAGCTTCCAGTAGTTTAATTTATTCAAGACCTTTAAGATAACCTAGACATTAAAACATAAGAAATTCTTCCCCTCTCCTTTCATCATTTAAAAAAAAACCAAACCAAAACCTCCAGATGTTTCAAATGTTATTAAGACTTTCATACTGGTGCTAAACCTGGAGAAATACAAATTACTTGTCAAGAAGCAATTAAATTCTGTTGTAATTATTTTATATTTGGCATTTAAAAGAACAATGCCACAACAGAGGTAAAAATATGTGTCCTTAAATTTGAGCACAGACTATTGTCCCATACCACAGTAGCCCCCAACAAGCTCACAGTAAGCCCTTTGCTTTGTGGTTAAGATCAAGGAAGAAGGCTGGATAACATCTGGACTGGAGATCATTTGAGTTTCCAGGACCTGATAGCTGCTAACTCTCCAAACAAATGCTCATTCACACTTTTATATAAATGATGAGAAACTTCTGGAGATCAGTGTCTTAATAAGAACGGCTAAATATATTAGAAAGGTACTATTTCTGCTACTAGAAAGCAGCTGTTCAAATTTGTAATAAAACAATTCCTTACTCAAGTAATGTGCTCCTGCATATATCCATGTTTACATCATTAGTGATATACAGAATAGAATCATAGAATTGTTTAGGTTGGAAAAGACATCTAAGAAAAGTGAGTGCAACCATTAACCCAGCACTGCCAAGTCCACCACTTAAACATGTCCCTAAGTACCATGTCTACACATGTATTTAATATCTACAGGGATGGTGACTCAATCACTTCCCTGGCCAGCCTGTTCCAATGCTTGACAGTCCTTTTGGTGAAGAATTTTCTCTAATATCCAATCTAAAGCTCTCCTGGTGCAACTTGAGGCCATTTTCTCTTGTATTTCTTGCTACCTCGGAGAAGAGACTGACCCCCACCTCACTACAGTCTACTTTAGGTAGTTGTAGAGAGTGACCAGGTCTTTCCTGAGCCGCCTTTTCTCCAGGCTAAACAAACTCAGCTCCCTCAGCTGCTCCTCACAGGACTCATGCTCCAGACCCTTCACCAGCTTCACTGCCCTTCTCTGGGCACATCCACTCTTTATTCCTGTTAGCCTTATATAACATTTCCAGGTTGATCCTCTTTCAATTTGCTACCCATGCGAAAGATTTCATCTAAATTTTGCATTCATATAGGATTTTTATTGATATAAGCTATAGCACTCTACCAACAAATTTCTTTTATATTCCTACTCTGAGAATAAACGTCTGGAAAGAGAAATGTTTTGGTGTAGCTCTGTTTTGAAAAAAGGACCAACTCGTAGAAGTTCTTTAATCACAGAACTGAGGTAGAAGCTGAAAATCAAAAAATCCTGCAAAACTAGTATGACTTTAAGGGGGTAGAAGGGAGAGAATTCAGGAGTAAAACTCCGGGGAAAAAGGGAAGGATGGGGAAAAGGTGTTGTTGAGTTTGTTTCATTATTTCTCATTACCCTCTTCTGATTAGATTAGCCAAAAATTCAATTAATTTGCCCAAGTCAAGTCTGTTTTGCCCATGATGGTAATCCATTAGTGATCTCTTCCCATCCTGATCTCGATTCACGAGCCTTTCATCATATTCTCTCTCCACTGTTCAGCTGAGGAGCACAGGGGTAAAGCAGCTTTGCTGGGCACCTGGCATCTAGCCAGGGTTAACCCACCACAGCTTATTATGATTAAAAAAATGAAAATTTTAAATCTGAAAGACTGATAAAGACTTCAACAGAAGCTTAAATACTCACGCATTCCAAACTCTGATATCAGACATTGCATATATCCACTTTAGCACGCAGTCTAATCACATTTCATGCTGCAACCTTATTCTCTTCATTTGTTTATAATTCTATGCAAATCTGGAAGCACATTATACAGCCAAACTGATTATCCAGGTGCCTGTATTATTCAGGAAGTCATATAAAACTCATAAGCACTGAGTAAAAGCTGCCTTGACCACAGTCTCAAGTCAACCACTGAAAACTGAGATGGGTAGAAAAAATGAACTGTAAACCAGGCAATGCCCACTGCAGTTTCTTCCAGTATTAGCAAGCCAGTGCTAAATATAATGATGAGAACTTGACACAACAATCCAAGTTAATCTGCAGTAGTGAGGCCAGGCAGCCCTGAAAAAAATTACTTACCTTAACACTGAAGATCTAGCCCCATTTTAAATTTAATTAAATCACATATATGAAGAAGAATATTAATTATGCAAAATAATCGATAACCAACATAGTTATTAACTTTGTGCTGAATCTTTTCTTACCACCATATGTTATGACTCGAAAAAACAAAAAGAGTAGCATGCCATCACCTGTCAAGTGAAAGAAATAGCACAAGACAAGCACAGCCAGACCATACCTCTGAGGTTTACGAATATCCCAGAGTCCCACACCTTCCTTAGAGTTGGCGGTAGCCAGTAATCTGGGTTCTACTGGATTAAACATTACACTGTGAAAGGCTGATGGGTAGTGTGCCAAGCAGAAGGGCTCTGTTGAAAAAGTTGAAATTTCACATATAAGAACAAACAATGCATACAACTGCTTGATGCAATGACTTTGGCAGCTTAATATGGAAACAGCATAACAAGATCTGAAGATATGGAGACATGTTCAAACCATTTCTCAAGCTGACACATCCAAAGAAGTATAAAACCTGAAGTTTTCAGAACCACCCACGTGTATCTTAACTCTGTCTAAATATGGGAAAGGATACATGCTGAATTTCAAGACACCATTTTGCTTCTGGAAGGTTATGAGAGTTTAAAACTAGCTAGTCAAAGATCAAATATTTGAATCTTCTTAAGGTTCACGACCAAATGGTCATCTGACAGGGAGTAAGCATGGGGGGGGGGGGCCTTCTGAAAGATTTCTAACAATATATGCCTGAAAGCTTCCACAGTCACTAATGGATGATCGCCCAAACCACAAATGTAGCACCAATGGATTACATGGGACAATAATACGGCAAGAAGTGAAATAAGTTTATATGGAACTCAGCTCAAAGCAAGCTGCCAACCCTGAGGAAAAAAGGCTTGCCACCTCCTAAGTGCTGTACAAGCAGACAAGAAGGGTGTTCCTCTTGCATAAAAAAATGTTAACAGTTGGCTCTTACTATTCACAGACAGAGCAAAAAACATGCTCATTCAGACTCTCTCCCTCTCATCAAGACTCTGTTTGTCCTGCTACTCTACCCTATTCATTCTGTCAAAATGCAGTCTCCAGGAAGAGTGGGGAAAAGCCTTGACTCTGTCATCCTTCTATCTTTCCGCTAGCTTTTACAGCTTTAGACACAGTCTAATTCTCTTTGCCATGTGTATCTTTTGTGGCATGCTGCCACTTTTTCAATCAACTAAGAAGCCAGAATCAATGCCTATTTTGAGCCAGGGATTATGCCAGACTTTCCCATTCACTGTTCACTTTGATACAACTCCTGTGTTGCTCACGTGCTTGGGAGACAGTTACTGCCCTTATTTGAGCCACCCTGTGCAGGCACCCTTAGCCCCACAAGCACCTCCAAAGATACTTAATTTTCTTTCCTCTTATCACTCGTTATGACGTACAAAACATGGTTAAACAGACAATTCTCTCAAATTTCCAATACCTTATGAAACAACTGCCTATTAAGCAACAGAGACAGAATGAACATTTATTTGTCTTGCCCCACCTGTACCCTCCTCCTCATGCACTATTACAAGCTTTTTCTTATAGGGATTTTCCTCTTCAGCCTTCCTTTAACAGTGATGAAAACAAAGGTCTCCAACAAAGCTGAAGCTCCATGGTGCTATTAATTGTCGTAAGAGAGAGGTAAAAAGAAAGACAGAAGCCAACTTCTGCTCTGCCAGCCTGCCCCAAGGCTTTAGAAATTGCTATCAGTCTGCTGGCAGTTCCAAATAAGTTTAACACCAAAACTGACTTCTTTCTTTTTTTTTTTTTTTTCCCATCATCAAATCAGAATCCTGCTGGGACATAAGAGGCTGTGTTATTAAAATGGCAACCCCTAGTGAGAGGCAAAGGCTTGCGTTAGCTGAGTGGAGAGAAAAACAACATCAGATTGCCAAATAAAAGAACTGGTTTTTTAAATAAACTTTCAATTTATGTACATTTTTTTAGTCAAATTATGGTCACTAACTACTGGTGCTTTCCTTTACACCTTTATTATAAATAGCCTGGCACCACAGTTTTCTTCTAAGATATCAAAAGTTGCCTTTCAGCCTCTCAAAGAGAGATTACAGGAGCTAAACTAATGAGGCACTAAGTCATTTTAATGAAAAGTAGGGGAACTACTTTTTTATCGTTCTTTATGTTCATTCACAATTGTAGCTTTTATATGCCAGAGTATGAACATGTTTCCCAAGGGAGCAGCCCTACACCATCTCTAATAAAAATTAAATTTGGGTTATAAAAACTACAGCATAAATCACTCAGCAGTGAAAGACAGGGAGAAAGAGAAGGGAATGAAACTCCTTTTCCAACTTCTTTTAATGCATTATTTTAAACTAGGATGTTACTTGCAAGATTTTAATAAGTTGGCCACTCAGGGTAACTAACTGTACTCACACTAGCAGGCATAGTGCCTATTCTCTTGAAAATACCAGTGCAGACCAGGGGATTACCCCAGTGACAAGCATTGTACTGCAGTAAACATTGGCAGGGCTCACATATAAATGCTGACTCAGAACTCCTATATAAGCATGCAAAAGCCCGTTATTTAACATTCAGAGAACCTAAGACAAAACTCCAAAAAGCCTCAAATTTCTATAGCCTGCACTTTGTCACACCATTTTCACTGGTGCAGCCTTCTCTTTCAAAGTCTTAACAATAGTAAAAGCAGTAACAAGGTTTAACTACAACAAAGAAGAAAAAAATTTATTTTCATATAATCTCAGAAATTCAGATCAGATTGGACATAAGCTTATGATACTGAACAGCTTCCTACAGATGCATTTAAGCATCCAGTCCTCCTGACTGCTGACATCCACTGTCAGCAACAGGTAGTTCTCCTAACAGAGACAGATCTTTATAGCGCAGAGTTTAGGAGGAGGCAATAAAGGAACATTTCACCATTTTCAATTTGGAAACCATATTCAGTGTCTGGTCTTATAATTTGGATATTATGAAGACATAAAAGCGGGAATGAAGTGACACTTGCACATTTTTTTACTTTATCAAAAGTCACATCCGACTAGTTTAATCTCTTGCTTTGATAGAGGAACTGACCTTTTATACAGGGGAAAAGTGGTATATATATTAAAGACTAAATTCACATAAGTTCTAGTATCAAGTTTTATTACATGCAGTTGAGATTAGCAAAGGGAGATGCATGGGGTAAGAAACTGGCTAAAGGGAAGTTAAATAGCACACTTCACTGTGCTACAAGAGGCTTATGAGCAAGAGGGGTGTTATTAATGAGTTCCTCAAAGACACAGAAGAGACAATATAGATATTTTTATTAAAGTCTGCAATATACATATATGGAGTGTGTTGTGCATTTTTTTCAGAATGTTTAATAAAATTACTACATGGGAAAAGAGATAAGGGGTAATACAACCGTGCAAGAGAACTGCACAACACTGAATGAAGTGCTAATATGTTTAGTTTCTATTTATACTTATACAAAAACAATATGCCTGGGGTAGGGAGGGTATTTATAAGCAGTCTACTATGAGTATTCTGGTGAGGCTTACCAAGACAGACCCAACTCTGGTTACTCATGTTCAATAAATCCTGCAGGATACTAATGTCTCTAAAAGACTCCTATAAGACTATAAAGTATGTCTTGTTTCAACTTTTCTTTTCAACATTTCCTGGTCAAAAAGGGACAGTCTAGGAAAGTTATCAAATTCACTAAGTATGGAAAGATATAATTCAGTCAAACAGCAACTTTGACACAACAACAAATGTGTAGAAATTGCCACAAAATACATTAAGCTGAATTTCACAGCCATAAACAATTTTCCTGTAAGACCAGTAGAAATTACAAGTTGAGGCAATTGCATTTAATCAGTTTGCTAAAAAGTATAGAATTTTATTTCATCTATGAATGAAGGGAACCATATTCTGTACTCCTGCAAATTGCTCTGTGTTCTTTAGGATGAGGTAAACTTGAAGCTTTGTTTACTTATGTATTACTTAAGTATCATACACTGAAATTCAATTACTGTGGTATTTCTCTCAAATTTATGTGACTATAGTTCTATACTGAGATTCTTCAGCCTCAAAACTGCAGCTGTACAAACACAGGCCACGGTGTTTTGAGAAGCTGCAGGTTTGTTATATAAATCAACATTATCCAGTTCTGTTTCAGAAAACAAAGTAATAATTCAGCTTCCCTATTATCACATAAGGGCTCTAAGTTGCCATACAACCAGAAAACATTATGCATAAGTGTTTTAGGGTCACAGGGAAATATGTAGTTAGCTTTGAAAAACTATTCAAATCAAAATGACAGCTTTCTAAACATCCAAAATTTCATTTTAGCCCAGGCTATAGGAAAAAAACCCCAAATCCCTTATTCCTAATTCACTGCAAGTTTTGCAAGATGTTGTCATTTCCTCTACTGCCCCTTTACTCAAGTTAAAACCTATTCAAACCAAGTTCTATGCTAGCCTGCACTATTTACTGGTACTTTATGAAGTCATTTAAGACAAAAAGACTGAATTGTAAAGACCAGGGCTTGCCTATCACTGTCTAAAAGAACTATGCCTCACTTTCACCCTTTTCCAACACTCACTGTCTCGACTGTCCCTGATAAACATCTTCCCTGCCTTGCACAAATTCTTCCTCAATCAATGATCTTTTCCTTCTAGAGATCTTACCTCCATGGGAAGACTCTCGGATGTCCCAAATAAGAACTCGGCCATCATCTGATGAACTGGCAAAGATGTTGTCATTTACTGGGCTTACTGAAAGGCCGTACACTGCATCTTCATGGGCAAACACATCCAAAGTTTCAGTGCTGGAAAAGAGACACGATATTAGCATTCTTCCTTCTTTTGCTATTGTTTTAAAAAGCAAAGTATTTACAGCTTTACCTACCTAGTAACACTTAGCGACGAAGTTTATGCAACTTCCTAAGGAGACCCTTGTGTATAACTCAAGAGAAAACCAAACAAAATGCTCACGTACAGTGACCAAGACATCATGCCACGAGAAAAAAAATATCTCAGACCAAACCCCAAACATTACAAACTTCAGATATTGCAAGATGCTATGGAACTCTTGTTGTGTTAGATCAAGTCTGGGAGGAAGCAATGGGAAAGCGAAAGAAGCCTTGGGATCTGTGGAGTAAATTTTTACTACTTAATGTAAAAAAGAAAACCAGACAGAAGTACTCTCTTTAATACAGGCTTCTGTATTGTCTAAAAGTTCAGTTGAAGCTCACAAAAGACCAACTTTCCAGATGGCTTTTTCAGTAAGTTTTCTTGATTTTTCAGGATAGACCAGACCTATATTTTTCCATGTAGAAAAACCAGAAAAAAAGAACAAAATTATTCCCTCTAAAGTACCTAGTTTTCAGCCATTCCACAGCTATAAAATAATAATAATAAAAAAAAAAGCCCATTCTGTTCCTTTCCCATCTTTGCTGGAATACTGAGTCAGAATATTCTGGGATTGTTTTATTTATTTGAAAAAGCCCCTTCATTTCTTTAGGGAATACCCTTTGTATGCAATCCCTATACCTCATGGAAGCTCCACCACAGAGATCCCACATAAAATCAGTGTTTTACTCACATGGCAATTGATGTTCTTGGTGACAGACCTACTAACTCTGTCTCATGGACCATTAATAAAAAAGCCAAAAAAAGCAGTAGCAGAAAAAGCCATTTAAAACCACTGAAAAGCAGTTGACAGAACAAGTGTTGTCATTCAAGAAGACAGAGCAACTTTCTGTAGAAATCAATCACAATTTAATGTGTCAGTCTACTAAAATTTCTTTCAGAAGATCCCACAAATAACCTTAGAGGAATTAATTATGTATGCATTACAACTGAATTTAGCATACCTTCAAAAATAAAACCAAATCCTGATAATGAAAGCACATTAAAAACACAACATATCAGAAAGACTAACATCTAAGCAAGACAGAGCAGGAAAAAATATGTTACATAGAGAAGTGTCAAGGACAAAGATCTTGTAAAAGCTTAAAAAGTCAGAACACAATAAACATTGGCATCTAAAATTTTGACATTTCCACCTTTAATTAAAACAACAAGAAAAACAAAACACCAAACAAAAAACCTCTCCCAACAAACACCCTCCCAAACAAAACCCATACAAAACACACACTCCCAAAAGCCTTAAAACCAAAAACCCCCCAACCCTTAAACACCAAACACCACAATATTCCTGAGAAAGCATCAGAACAGAAGGACAAAGTTACTTTTGCCCAGCTACCATGCAAGACTTATGCAAGAAGCAGACACAAGGCATGATGGAAGGCAGATGTACATTGAACAGTTCAATGCAAAAGGCTTTGGACAAACATAGCAAGGATTATGTTATTTAGGCAACTCAAAAAAGGTAAGGGTTTATATTTCTCTGTTCTTATATATATCTCTTCCTGCTTTTAATTTATACTTGATTTTCTTGAGTTCATGTTAATTAAATGGTCATTGTTTAAATCTGTAGAAGTTATTAGTACAGACCAAAATGTTATAGTTTTTTTATACCTCAAATGAAGTAAGCTCAGAAGACATGATGTCTAGAGAATTCCAATCCAATACATTACCACCATTGTATTATTTATATTTTGACTAACAGCCTAATCTTGATTAAGCACAACAAAGCCTAATTCCCAACCGGTTTGCAATTTTGGTAAAAAGTAAGCATCAAAAAAATCTGCTTCACATTAGTGTGGAGAATCAGGCAGCTGCAGTCAAAGTTTTAAAAGCTAACTAGGTAGGCCAAGCACTAGCCATCTTAAATATGAGTCAGGTGAGTGCATTGAAAAACAAAACATCTGTATGTGCCAACACTTGTATATGTGCCAGAATAACCTGGCTCTAAATCTACCCAGAACTACTATGCTGTCTGCAGGAGAGTATATATATTTAACAATCTTTCTCTTCCCCTAGGTCAAAATGATACAAAACCCAAGTGCTGGAAAAAAATGGAATTATGAGGAATACTTCATTCCCAAAATTAATTTAGATAAATAAAAAGCAAGTTTCAGGATTAAAACACTGTGCTCTTATCCCAGACCATTAATTTAAAACAAAAAGTGCCTCCAGTGAGTTGACATTAAGCGAGTTCTTGAAGCAGTGGAAATACAGTGTATTTACCTTTCAACATCATGGAGTATAACTTGCTCATCATTGCCTAAAAAGAGAAATATAAGCACTTAACATCATGTTCCAGTGGTTAAAAAGCATTATAGTGAAAAAAACCCCAAACCACTTTTTTGGTTTTTTTTAAATTTTCAATTTCAAAACCAAAACTGAAGCAGAGAGAAGACGAGCTCAGTTTCCAAGTGGTTAGCTCTCTGCTCAGTTATGTGAGAGACTCCAAGTCACATTTCCAGTCATGACCAAATGTACCAATACGCTCCACCTGCTACTGCTCAACAAATAATTCTATTTAACTATACTACCAACCACTCCTTGTTCAGTTTGAGCTTGAGTTTTGGGACATCTGCAGTAAAGAGAAGAATATTCCATGAAGCAGCAGAACACTTTTAACTCTCATGAAAATACATCTTTCTTCCTGCTCAAAGGATACTCCATAAAAAGATCACGGAAGGTGAAAAGAGATGTCATAAGTGAAATGCACTGGGTTCCCAGATCAAATACTGTCAGCTAACACTATCAGCGTCCACGGTTTTGCAGCCATCGAGAAGGCAAGAATGTGACAGCCAATGTAATTTCTTCTGTATTAACAAAAACCAAATCAAGTAACCAGACAACCATGTCACTTTTCTCTGATCACATCCACTGAATACAATGGAAACTAACCACATGTATGCAGGCTAAGAAGGTCACAGCCACAAAGTAATTCCAATAACTCATGCAGCGTTTTTCAATCTATAACAGCAGAATATTTTTCTTTGGTCTCTGTGCTGAATACTAATTTACCTAAATTTGGTTCCTCCTCTTTGGAAATATGTAAGGACACACACACACTTTTATATTTAATTCAGAAGAAAGGAACCCAGAAAGCTCACAAAGTCATATTTTCATGCTCTGTATGTCTTTGTAGCTGTGATATAGAGTTGTGAAGCGTTCCTAATGCACACCAAAGCTAGAGGTTCAGAAGGGGTAAGATTTCATGTTATGATTTGTAAGTGCTCAGTTGACTCAGCTTTCATTTATCGCATATATATTTCAATTCTATTCTGTTTTAACAGAATAAATACGAGAAAGTTTCTCTTTCATTAACGAGGTGTGAGATTTTTCTACAACCACTTGCTCTTTGCCCAGTCTCCTAGTTAAATCATGCCAGCCTTAGATTACTGCAGCAGCTTGTCTATTCTGTGGTACAGTAAATAAGTCACTTAAAC